CCGGCGCCGGGGTGGGCGGCATCGCAGGCTTGACCTACCCCCCTGCGCAGAAGGATGCTCCGGGGGGGGGGGGGGGGGAGTCCAGCTACCTTCCTTCCACGGGGGAAGCGCGTGTGCTGCAGCATTTTAGGGGCCTGACTCGCTTTAGTGATCTCAGGCGGTCACTGAGCCCTGACCTGCCTCAGTTTCCCCATCTGTAAAAGGGGGCGCAGATACCTAACTCAGAAGGAGGTGGTGTGAGATATATTTGCAAAGCACTGTGGGGTCCCTAGGCAGAAGATACTCAAAAAGAGTCAAGTGCTGTTAGTATTTATTAAGTGTTTAGAGAAAGTGTCCAAAGGCCCCCTTCCAGATCAGCCTATGGAGCTGTGCATTAGGGATGTAAACTGTCATTTAAAAAGTTAACCACTTAAATACCATGTTTAAGTGGTTAACCATGGAGCAGCCCCCTGCATGTGGTGCAACACCACTGTGGTCAGGGTCCAGAGCAGCCCCCCTGAGTGGTGGGCCTGACTGGGCTAGAACAGCCCCACTATGTTGAAGGCAGCTCTAGCCAGGCCAGGTCAAGCCTGCTGCACCACGGGCAAGGGCTGCTCAGGCTTGGCCAGGCCCACTGCACCGTGCCGGGCCACTGGTTAACTGGTTACCAGGAGGCATCACCCAGTAAGAATGATGCTTACTACGTAACTGGTTACCCCTTTACATCCTACTGTGCATTGAACAAAGTAAGAGACTCAGCGAGTTTACAGCTATGGATAATTCCAGGGAGATGCCTACACAGTCACACCTGATGTGGTGGAAGTTTTTCGTGAGAGACCTGAAGAATCTTATGGAAATTCTTTAGGGTTTTTGTTGTTGTATTCTGTATAAGAGACCAGATCACCAACAAATTGTATTTTAGAGAGAGATTTGATTGGATAAATAAGCCTGATAGTGGTTTTTCGTTAAGTAATTCTGTGCCCTTCTGCAGCATGTTTATTTATCTCAGTGGAACCACAAAATCTACGCTTTTAGTGCACATTTCTGTCAGTGATCACAGTAGTCATTGTACATCAGTGGGAAAAATCAGTGAATACTATTATAGCTTTGCCTAATGGCACATTGCATATCTGGAACAAATTGGTTTTTTTTTAAATACATAAATATGTAGATTTATCAAAAGGTTTGCCAGAGTTATTATGGACAGTTAAATTTTATGTAGCGTTCTTTATCAAGTCTAGAAAGAATATGAAAACTTTTTATTACATGTATAGTTTTGTTGAAAAGTGCTGATTAATAAGATTAAAGAATAAAGCCGTGTATAGTTGCAGAACAGGTACAGCATGGGCAGTGACTATATAGACTTCCCATGCACTGCAATTTACCCGTGTCTCACAGAAACACCTTTAGGGATAGGGAGGCAGTTCAGCTTCTGAAGCACAATCTTTTTTATGAGGCCTACAGCTTCTGCTCTGTTTGGGTTACTTGCCAGCAGCTATGTTCTGTAATACATGTTGCAATTCCATGTTATTTAGTACTTTCTCTCATGGAAAAAATTCAATGATTTCAAAAAATAATACAGACATAAAGGATAATTGCTATTTTAAACATTCCCATAGAGCAACTAAACTAGGAAAAGAATCAACAGATAATGAGATTAGCAGAACCTTTAACTATTTTTTTTAATTCCCTCTCTCCCTCCCACCCCTAAACAGAACAAAATACAAAATCCTTACAATTATTTTTAATATGGCAGCACCTGCAGATGTCCATCAGGATCAGAACTCCCATGTGCTAGGTAAAATATGGAGTAAAAAGAACATTTTCTGATATAACTGCTAGGTCATACACCCTTACTTTTACCTTTCCCCAACCACTTCTCCCTCAAAACCTACTTCCCATTAGTCAAGGTGAAAGACCAAACAATGGAAGGATTGTTTCATACACATACAGAATTGAAACTATTGTTACATTTTCTTATCTAATTCAAGAGTATTTTTGTACATTTCACAATTATGGTAATTTTAAGCTACAATGACCAGAAAGATCAGAAAAGTGCCACTTTTGTTTAGTGCAGAAGCCTGGCATGGTGTGAGAACTGGTATTTGGGCTGTAGGTTTTCTACAAAGAATGTCAAACAAAGCTATAAAGAACAATCTATTGTTGTTTTAAATGTATTCAGGGTCAGAAGAGACATATACAAACTGCCAGCAGTGAGTCTTGTCACAGCATCAGCTAAAGCATACTACAAGTATAATTTCTCTTTTATTTAGCTTCTCTTCCCAGAAATGATTCATCTGAATGCACCAGCCAAAAGACTATTTTCTACAACTGAGGATGTACAGTATATATATTAACAGTTGTTATAAATACATTTTCAGGGAAAGCTGTTGAAGTCTTGTAGTCGGAACACAAGAGTAGGAGGCAGATCTGACTCTAGGCCTGGTCACTGACTTGTGCTACCTAGAGCAGATTGCTTCACTGCTCTGTTCATCTGTCTCTCCCACCATAAAATCTGCAAGTATTAATTAAAGTTTTAAAAGCATGTTATTGTCTCGTAGAAAAGACACACTGGAAATGCAAAATATTTGTTTTTTTAAGATTCTCCATACCTGAATGTGAGTGCCAAATAAAAGAGGTAAAAACATATTTAAACCCATCACCAAAACCAATGCAGACTAGTAAATAGCTATGAATGAAAGTTGGTGCAGAACTAAATAACAAAATCTCCCCACGACATTTAGATGTGTAGAATTTGGGAAAGGACCACTCTAAGGATGTTGTGTGAAACATCTGAAACTTTTGGGGAAAAAGTTTAGGATTATACTATACTTACAGTTTTGAAAACATTTTCCTCCTTAATTTAAACCATTGTTTTTCCAAGGAAAGTTGAATGAAAAATATGTTATTCTAGTGAAATGTAAGCCCATTGTACACACATAATAAAGATCCTATTGAAAAATAATTCTTACTCTGAGTTATACAATCCTAAATAATGTGACTCACTCAATATGGTTTCAGTCAATGAAATGTTATTTTGATAATCTATAAAATTAGATAAAGAGAAGATTAGGAAGCCTCAGAATTTTACTGTATAGTTTAAAAGAATCATGTCAATAATTTGATTATAAAACTGATTTCATAGATTTTAAGGGTTTCTTTTCAATATATTCAGACTTTGACTCAGTAACATGTTTAGAACAGAATAAATATGTTGATCAATATATTCAATTAGTATTCCATTTACCCTTCCCCGAGAAATTTGTCCTGTACTCACAATACTTCTGTAAAATCAGAGCAATTTTGAAATAAATTTCTTGTGCCATATTTTTGATTGGGATGATTAAGAACTTGCTGTCAGATTCTTGCTCTTAGAAATTTGGAAACTGATTATAGAACCATTGCCCCAAAAGCTCCATAGTCTGATGCTTAGTCATAAGACTGGGAATCAGCTTGTCAGCCTGGGTTCTATTCCCACCTCTCAAAATGACTATAATAATTTACAAAGCAATAATACTTGGCCTTCACACAGCAAATCAATATAGCTGTTATTAAGTAATTATTAGCAGCCTGCTTTTATAAATGGAGAAACTGAAGCATCCTAAATCACTTGACTCCTATGCTTATTTTCCAAGACCACTGTGCACCAAGGCTGGATTTCAAGTGCTTAGCATCTAATGTGCACTCAGCATGCTGAGCTCTTCTGACAATGGGAACTTGCGGTTTTTTAACAGCTTGTCCCCCATACTGTGTTGAAAAAAGGGTTAGGAGTTGGAAGACACAAGGCCTGATTTTCCATTCTGCTACACTAGTTTTTTGTCACCATCATGCTCCTGGATCCTAAAACCTGCTTCAGGAAGAACTCATGGCTATGCTGTGACTGAAAGATGCTGCAAGACTCTGAATTTCCTGGGTATAGACGCAGAAGCAGAACAGCCAGCTATTACTGGAGGTTCCAATGCAGAAGGTGTTGCAGCGACAGGAGAGGGTTGTGACTACAGTGCCTATACCCACATGCATTGAGTATTCCCACATCCAGGCTGGCTCATCACCCACACTACCTTTGTAGCCATGTAACATGTTAAAGCTGCCATAGCATACACAAGAGCTCATGGTGCCCCCTCTCTTTCTGGGTTAGATTTGGCAGCACAGTAGGGACACACATAGGTCTTTTTTTACTCTAGAGTTGAGAGTCCATCACAAGCATTAAATTCACTTTAAAATGTGAAAAGGACAGTTGTGATGTAGCACAATACTGACGTGTTGTTTACACTGTGTTATGAAGGTCTGTTTTTTCTTTTAAAAAAGCAATGATCAACATATGATTCTATCCTTGAAGAATTAGAATGAAGCATATTGACACTGTTTGTGTCATCTAATCACTTACAGGCACCCAAAGATCTTGCTTTCTGACAGGCTACAAAATACAAATTATATTTCATTAAAAACAACAAATAGACTAGTAGCACCTTAAAGACTAACAAAACATGTAGATGGTATAATGAGCTGAAGAAGTGGATTGCACCCACGAAAGCTCACAATACCATCTACATGTTTTGTTAGTCTTTAAGGTGCTACTAGTCTATTTGTTGTTTTTTAAGTTTTTCCTGTTATAAACTAACTTGGCTACCCCTCTGAAGTTTTTATATTTCATTAAATCCTCATTATAATGAAGAGAAATGTCCATCAGCTCAAGCTTTCTCAAGCACCACTTCTACACAACAAATCAGAATGGATAGCAGAGGATATGGAATCCAACTGAAGATCCAAACAGAATTTAGAGTGGCAGAACAAAATTATTCAAACTGCAGTTTTCCCTGGACTGGGTGACCATATCTTGTTGAAATAAGCCCCATGATGATTTAAAAAAGGATGATGTGTTTTCAGCTCTGAGCCAAGGGTACAGCACATGGAACAGACAGCAAGATGAAGCAACATAATGAGCATGGTTAAAAGGCGGCACACACTTTATGCCTTGTCTAGTGGAATGTCACGTTTTGACTTCTGATTGGCTGAGGAATGCAGGAGTCAGTTTTCACTGGAGTTGATCAGAAAGTTTCCCTCTGCTTTGTAAAGTTGCTGTCTGAGCAGAGTTGTTGCAAAGAGGCCAGCTGCTCTGATACTTCCCTAAAAAGCTGCTTAAATGAAATGAGAAGACTTATCTGTCCAAGGATTTACAGCCTAGAGAAGAAGCAAAGAAGTTATTTTCTCCTTTTTCTTCCCTACTCCCAGTAGAGCTGCTCAGATCTCAGTACTGGCATGCGTTTCATCTCTCAGAATACTATGTCACAGTACTCTACTAACTTTCTCTTGCTTCCCATACCCGAGTATCCTGTCTTAGACTGTGTGCCCAACAAAATCATCAAGCTTGTTGTACTTGGTGGCAGTAACGTTGGCAAGACAGGTAAGTCCACAGAGTTTTGATTGTATTTAGAATGTAACCATTTTTACATTTTATATTGTATGTATTCCAGAACAGATGTTGCTATATGTTTAATTATTGCTTTAAAAATGCTCTGAATTTTTTGTGAGATGGATCAGATGACCCCAACATATTTAGTTCAAATGTTAGGTGGCATGGTCAAGTGGATAGGGCATTGATAGGGCCCAACTAAACTCATGGCCATGAAAAACACATCACAGACTGTGAAATCTGGTCTCTCCCCCCATGAAATCTGATCATTTGTGTACTTTTACTATATAGATTTCATAGGGTAGATCAGTGTTTCTCAGATTCAGGGGCTCACCTTTAAGGGAGCTTAAGGTTATTTTAGGGGGGTTGTGGTATTGCCACCCTTACTTCGGTGCTGCCTTCAAAACTGGGCTGCCAGCGAGTGGCAGATGTGGACCATGTGCCCAACTCTGAAGGCAGTGTCCTGCTAACAGCAGTGTAAAAGTAATGCTAGCAATACCATACCAAGCCATCCTTCTGCAGTAGTGGTAGCTTTGCCCCTTCAGAGCTGGGCTCCTGGCCAGCAGCCACTGCTCTCCAGCTACTCAGCTGCAAAGACAGCATTGCCACCAGCAGCAGCGAAGAAGGGGTAGCAGTACCGCAATCCACCCTTCAGTGTGACATCCCCCACCTCCAGTTCATTTTTGCATCAGGACCCCTGCAATAATAATACCATGAAATTTAAAATGTAAATAGCTGGAATCATAGAATTTACTATTTTTAAAATCCTGTGACGGTGAAATTGATGAACATGGATTGTAAATTTGGTAGGGCCCTAGGCATTGGGTAGGTGTCCAGAGCCCTGAATTCAATACTCAGCTCTACCACTGACCTACTATATGAGCTAGTACAACTCACTTCACTGTATCTCAGTTTCCCCATCAGAAAAATGGGACTAGTGATACTTGCCATAGTGATGTGTAGCACTTTGAGATCTATGGACGAAAATATTATTTTCCACATCTATGATTTGGAGAGAGGGAAAGAAGAAATTGAGTGGTTCACTTTGATAGGGACTGTCGGTTTGTTCTTAAGTTGAATTTGTATGTAAGTCGGAACTGGTACATATTGTAGGGGAAACTCTAGCCAAACATTTCTCCAGAGCTCAGTTTTATTCTCCCACACCTCACTTCCCTCAGTCCTTTATTCTCAAGCTGAGGTATCTGCTGAGAAAAGCCGCTCTGCGTCTCCCTAGTCTGCTGGGGGGGCGGGAGCGCTAGCTTCACGTCTCCCTGATCTGCTGGGGGGAAGCAGCTAGTGCGGGGTTGCCTCACCCCGTTTGTAAGTAGGGATCCGATGTAAGTCGGATCCATGTAACCCGGGTTGTACGTGGGTTGTGATTTCACAAATAAGCAAATTTTAGAAGGAAGAGACTTTATCCTGGAAAAACTCTGCAGTCTAGACATAGCCTGGGTGGGCCTGCTCTGGCTCCTGCTGCCTGTGTGATGAGTGCACGCAGGTGACCTCTGCTGTCAGCATGGGGCTTGGAGTGGCCACCCTGATTCATCCTATGGATGGGATAGCTCTACAGATGTGCAAAAAAGTGTGCCTTATGCATAGAGTAATATGTGAACAAAGTTTAGCATGGTGCTACACTAAGTTAGCTGGTAAGACATTACATGTGTTGTGCAAAGGCTGCTATTGACCCACATTAAAGGCCCATATTTTTCCTTGTTTTGCAGCCCTGGTTGTGCGCTTTCTCACTAAAAGATTTATTGGAGACTATGAGTCCAATACTGGTGAGTCTACTTCCTAATGCAGCATTATAGATAGTTTCCATTTCAAATTACTGTATTTTGTAACCACTGTGTATTACAGAAAAGTAAAGCAGTTAGATGTCCATAAAATGCATATTTTCAGTTAATTGCCTCAAGCTATGAAACAATAAATCAAAGGCTCATTATTTACAATCCTTTTAGCCTATATCATTTCCACCTCATGGAAAAGGATCAGAGGGAAAGATTATCTTGAGGACATACCTACAGTAAAAAAGCAGAATCAAGGAATGTTTCCTATACTAACAGAACAGTAGAAACTAAATGCTACCCTGCCTATACAATCCCATTGAAGTCAATGGAATTTCATAGAGCTTAAGAGTCAGCCCAGAATTCTGCCCTATGTATTTGCTTCTTGCAGTGATTTAGTGCTGATGTAGAGTGCTAGATTGAAGCCCTCTGTACCCAGAACAGGTACAGTGGCAATGGAAGCATTCTTTACTTTGTCCTATTTTGTCCAATCCTGACCCACAGGGAACATCTCAGAGGTTGTGTCTAGACTGGCAAGTTTTTCCGCAAAAGCAGTAGCTTTTGTGGAAAAACTTGCCAGCTGTCTACACTGGCCACTTGAATTTCCGCAAGAACACTGACTTCCTACTGTCTGAAATCAGTGCTTCTTGCGGAAATACTATGCTGCTCCTGTTCGGGCAAAAGTCCCTTTTGTGCAAAGCTTTTGCACAAAAGGGCCAATGTAGACAGCTCAGATTTGCTTTGCACAAAAAAGCCCCAATCGTGAAAATGGCGATCGGGGCTTTTTTGTGCAAAAGCATGTCTAGATTGGCATGGATGCTTTTCCGCAAAAAGTGCTTTTGCGGAAAAGCTTCCGTGCCAATCTAGACGCTCTTTTCCGCAAATGCTTTTAACGGAAAACGTTTCCGTTAAAAGCATTTGCGGAAAATCATGCCAGTCTAAACGTAGCCCCAGAGTATAATGCTGTGGTCCATTTACTCCACACTCTCTTTGCCAGTTGGGCTGCACATTGTCTGAAAGGGACTGTAAAGTGGGTATCTGTGCACTAGGAATTTGCTGAGACCAGCTAACTCATCTCACATGTAGGCCACCTAACAGCTATGAGAAAACTATGAAGCAGGACTGAGTTCAAATCAGTGATTTTGTAATTGTTTTGCTTTGGGAGATACATGCTAAGTTGAGAAGGAAGAGTCAGAAATGGGGATGGGAGAACCAGAAGCCTTTAATCTACTCTGCCTGTCTGATGAGTGATGGTCTGGATGCTTTCACTGACTGCCCCCTTCCACTGACCCTAAGTAAACCTTGACAGTTCAGTCTCTGTATCGCTTCTCTTTCTTTTCCTTCACATTTCTTGCAAGACACTGTCAATCAAGCTAGACTTTTAAGTTTCACAGTGGATTGCTGCCAGAGACATTGCTAAGAAGTGCATGCTTTTTTTCCATTAAGCTACCAGCCCTACAGCCATTTTGCAGCAGAAACAAATATGCTAAAGATAAGAAACAGGTGTTAGTAGATCTGTGATCACATTACCATGCTTCTCCTTCAGCTGGATATAAGGCAGAACACTAACAGCATCTGGAAGTAGCTGCACTTTTTCCTGTCATATATTGCAGAGTAGGAATAGTATATTGTCTGTTATGGTACGCTTATTAAGTTTGCAGATGATACCAAACTGGGAGGGGTTGCAACTTCTTTGGAGGATAGGGACATAATTCAAAATGACCTTAGCAAGTTAGAGAAATGGTCAGAGGTAAACAGGATGAGGTTTAATAAAGAGAAATGCAAAGTGCTCCACTTAGGAAGGAACAATCAGTTCCATACATACAAGATGGGAAGCGACTGTCTAGGAAGGAGCATGGCGGAAAGGGATCTAGGGGTCATAGTGGACCACAAGTTGAATATGAGTCAACAGTGTGATGCTGTTGCAAAAAAAGCAAATATGATTTTAGGTTGTATCAACAGGTGTGTTGTAAGCAAAACTCGTGAAGTCATTCTGCCGCTCTACTCTGCACTAGTTAGGCCTCAGCTGGAGTACTGTGTCCAGTTCTGGGCGCCACATTTCAAGAAAGATGTGGAGAAATTGGAAAGGGTACAGAGAAGAGCGACAAGAATGATTAAAGGTCTAGAGAACATGACCTATGAAGCCAGGCTTCATGAACTGGGCTTGTTTAGTTTGGAGAAAAGAAGATTAAGGGGGGACATGATAGCGGTTTTCAATTATCTAAAAGGGTGTCACAAGGAGGAAGGAGAAAATTTGTTCCTCTTGGTTTCTGAGGACAGGACAAGGAGTAATGGGCTTAAAGTGCAGCAGGGGAGGTTTAGATTGGACATTAGGAAAAAATTCCTAACTGTCAGGGAGGTCAAATATTGGAATAAATTGCCAAGGGAAGTGGTGGAATCTCCCTCTCTGGAGATATTTAAGAACAGGTTAGATAGACATCTGTCAGGGATGGTGTAGACGGAGCTTGGTCCTGCCTTGGGGCGGGGGGCTGGACTCGATGACCTCTTGAGGTCCCTTCCAGTCCTATTATTCTATGATTCTATGGGTTAGGTATCTCCCCATAAAACAGCCCAATCGTTCCCAGCTTAATATGTGATCGGGCTCACAGAAGAGTTATTCATGCAGTGCAGTCAGATTTAAAATGTACTATTTTAATGCTGGAACTAAATGCACTGAACTTTGCCACAGTGAATTTCCTCATATTCTGAATGTTTCTACGAGTGCAGATATTTTTCCATTGGAGCAAAGACACCTGCTTCTGTGAATCGCATTTTAGAGACAGTCTCCCAGGCATGGTTTTTTTTTAAAACTAAGGTTCACACAGAGCACAGTTGGCGCTAATTGGTCTGTTCATGAGTAGTCTGAATTGAGGCCAAGGACTGAATAGGCCATGAGAGCAAACTTCCTGCTTCCCCTAGAGGGGATTCCTCCAGGTCAGAGTTGAAACACATTGCCAAGGGAGTTGCATGAACAGTGCCATATTGACAGCAGTTGAGAATGTAAAAATGTTCTCTGTAAAGCTGTGTGAAACAGGGGCTCTGACCATGAATGCCTCCTGCTGCTGCGTGCAGTACTGCAGTCCTTTCCTTATTCCTCATGCCCCATAGGTTGTCAGCAGCCCTTGGCAGTTCATCAGTGGCTTGGCCTCCAGCCAAGTCACAAAATCCAAATGAATCCCTTCTGGGGTAGTAAAGAGTCCAATAAATGAACCAGTTTCTTTTGTCCTCACTAGGGCCCTTCCAATCCCACTCTAAGCCCTTTCACTTCATCCCTCCACCTGGACTTCGCAATAAGATGTGTCCTATATCAGGATATGCATCATTTGGCCTGGGAGCCCAAGCTTGCCCACTACCTGTAAGTTCCGATCCTGGGACCCTATGCACAACATCCATAATCATGTACTACTCACTTCAATTCATTGCTTCTGTTTCCCTGAGCCTCTTCCCACCTTGCCCCCTTATCTTCACCCCAGACCACAGGGCTAATGTTCTCAGGTCCTCTCCCTCCCAGTTTAAGCAAATGTAGCCAGAACCAAACTCTGGTTGTTCCTTGAGCTTCTGTGGCCAGTCAGGACTTGACAGGTATGTCTAGACTAACTTTCACTTTTGAAAGAAGATATGCAAATTTGGCAATAATTTGCATATCTTCTTCCGATTGTTTTTTTGAAAGAGTTTTTTTCGAAAGAGCAAGTAGTTTAGATACGGTTCTTTAAAAAAAACAACCCTTTTTTCAAAAGAATCTGTAAACCTCAATTTTTGAGGAAGGTTCTTTCAAAAAAAAAATTTTTTTTTCAAAAGAACCGTGTCTAAACTGCTTGTTTTTTCAAAAAAAACCTCTTTTGAAGAAGTGATTGGAAGGGGATATGCAAATTACCACCACATTTACATATCGTTTTTCGAAAGTGAAAGTAAGTCTAAACCTACCTGACTTGAATTGACAATTCAACTCAGCTGGACTGTCTGCCTGCCTGCCAATCTGCCCCACCCACTGCCTCCCCCACAACTAGAAACTGCTGTGCTAAGGCCTTGCAGCTCATTTTATCCAAGCCTGCCAGGCTCTGATTGGCTGCTTCTTTGCAGTTTCTCTAGGCAGGCCTGAAGACCCCACCTTCATTGCTCCTTTATTGGGACTGAATGAACCATGTGGCCTCTAGCACAGGGCAACAAAGAGCCTATCACACCATGTAGCCTGTGTTAAGTTTTATAGATAAACAAAGAGGACATCAGTCTCCAAAGCTGTCATTATGTCAACCATGGATACTTCATAAATCCCAGACCTAAGCTTTCTTTATGTTGTTGGACCTGCAATACAAAACCAAATATAGGTCAAAACCAGTATGTCCATAGTCTTGATCAAAGCTGGGCCATGACTAGAAAATTTTACCCCGCCCTTATGTCCTTATGACTGATTTGGATAAAATGGAATCTGGATACATGTCATTGCCATCCCTGCTTTGTGTGGGTGTGTGTTCAGGGGTTCAGTACCATAGTCTGAATGATGAGGTTCTGAAGACCCAAAATAAAAAACGAAACTATTTAGTCTTTATGCATGGCCATGTGCTCCGTTTATGCTTTGGCATACTTTTCCTTGCACTTCTAGCAGAAATCCCTGGAAAACAGCTAACTCATTTAACAGTGAATTCCCTGATACCTTGGTTTGTGATTACAAGTACTGCCGATCTGCACTACAGCAGGATGTAACTCACTGTGGAATCAAAATCATATCATAACAGTATAACTGTTGTGGAATCAAAATCATAACTATGATTAACAGAAATCCCATTCAAGTTTTTCTGTCTCCTTCCAAAAGAAGTAGCAGACCAATGAGAAGAAGTCCTCAATCAGATAGAAGATCAGATATTCCTCAGTAATCTGAGTCACAGGAACATAGGTGACTGCGGAGGGAGAGGTGCAGGGGGGGACTACTTAAAGGAACAGGGAGGAGGCATGAGGAAGCATCCCATTTAGCAATTAATATTTTGGAGGGAGCTTGGGGGGAGGGGGTGCCTCATCTGAGTGCTTCCATGAGTCGCCTATGCACAGGAGAAATCATAGGCCAGTATTTGCAATCACTAAAATTGGATTTGAAACTGTGGTATTGATCTTTGAACATTTCACATAAAATAACCTGTCCTGATTGTTCCATGGGCAAAGTAGTTTATAAATAATTTAATTTTTAATAAAGAGTTAAAAAATAAAGAATATACAGCCCAAAGTGGTGGAAACATTCAGTCAGGGAACACATATAGTACCATGTTACTACCAACAGCATAAATTCATCCCTGTGTACAGTGCTAGCATGGGACCATTTAAGTCCCAGGACTCAGAACTAGAATATTCTGATTTTGACTGGACTTACCTTTTTCCCCTTATTACATGACTGGTCTCTAATCATTTTACTTATCTACCAGGTGCTTTGTATTCAAGAAAATTCACCATCGACGGAGAGCAGATCTCCTTACAGGTGCAGGATACACCTTATGTCTCACTGGAGGTAAAAAGTCTGCGCAATGTATTTATTCTTCAGAACACAGTTAGTGCCTTTTGTTCATTGCTAGCTTTTTAGTGTCCCTGATAGGTAACTCTTGTCATTAGGGGTGCGTCTACCCAGCACCCTTACCTTGAAAATTATGCAAACTGTGTATCTTATTTTGATGTTATTTCAAAATAAGGCGCTATTCCAAAACATTCCTTATCCCTCGTGGAATGAGGTTTACAGAGACGTTGGAATAGTGAGCCCATTATATTTTGATATAATGGACTTGCTCTTAAGACCTGGAATAGCTATTCTGGGATACCAAAGGTATCCCAGAATAGCACCGCTGCATAGATGTAGCCTAGCAAATGTGCCTGAGTCAGAACCTCAAATCCAAAGGTGGACATCCCAACTCAGATGGCCTCTGCTCAGCCACAACTACTCCATGAAGTCAGGCCCCTTTCTGGTAAAATCAGGACCAAAGAAAACTTTTAAGAAATTATTTTAAAAAACCGTAACAATGAACGAATGATCCAGTAGCACCTTAGAGACTAACAAAAATATAGATATATCAGTGCTTTTTTTGCGACGGTACTGCCCGGTACGCAGTACCGGCACCTCCAGACGCAGTACTGGCACCTCCAGTCAGAGCTCAACAGCTTTTCCCCTGGAGTATTGGCACCTTTTTTTTTTAACAAAAAAAGCACTGGATATTATCATGAGCTTTCGTGGCACAATCCACTTCTTCAGATGAATGGAGCAAGTGGTTCAGAGGTTCAAATATATAGCAGAAAAAGAGGGAAGAAGGGGAGGAAAAAACCCTTGTCAATTAAAGTGTCTGTGCTAAATGAGGCTAACAGAGTGGGCTGTCAGTGCCCAATACTTAGCATTTGATGTCATTTGGGTATTGAATATAACGGCTCATCCAATAAATATCTTTGTTCAATTCCTGGGTAAATGTGTCAGCTTTGCATATGAAGTCTAGTTCTGCAGTCTCTCTCTCCAGTTGGTTCCTGAAATTAATTTTCTAAGAGGATAGCAACTTTTAAATCCACTAATGAGTGCCTGGGCAAGTTAAAATGTTCCCCAACAGGTTTCTGTGTGTTACCATTTCGAATATCTGATATGTGTCCATTAATCCTTTGTTGTAGAGACTGCCCAGTTTGGCCAATATACATGGCAAAAGAGCATTGCTGGTTTAAGTTTAAACTGAGGAATAAAACTTCAGTGCTGGCTTGCTTCAACCAAGTCCTTGCTTAGTCTAATTGCTGGCAAGTGGTTCCATTCCTGGATGGCCAGAAAGATCTCTGAACAGCCCAGAGGCCAACCTGGCTGGTGAGGTCAGGACCTCCTCTCCCAGGGTGACTCTCTTCCTTCTGAAGGACAGTCTTTGTAGCAGTTGATATAATCTCCAAAGGTGGGACTTCTTAGTATCTGAATTAAATCTCTCTCTGCTTCTCAGGGACATGAGGTATATAATCCTCATCCTCATCATACCAGCTCTCCAATAGATAAAAATTCCTGGCTAAGAGCCTCTCTGTCAAAGATCAATGCTACTGACTCCAGAACGAAGGGGAGTCTGTTGCTAATTTTGTTTGGGCCAAGGGGGAGCTGGTTTGGAAGCAGATCAAAATGGTAGGATCTCACAGATGTACCAGATTTTGTGTATGTTTTTCCTTGACTGGTGGAAATCTCATGAAATCAATTGTTTTCATAAAGTTTCTGAGATTTAGGGCCAAAATTAAGTGCATTTTCATCAACACTGAATCCAAAACCTAAGTTTGGTTTTAACTTGAAATCAAATCTAAACCCAGACTTAACCTAACACACACATCTGGAATCAAACATTATTATCAATGTCATCTTCTCTCACATCAAACCTGGAAAGATTTGAAGATCTTTTTTAATTTAAAAAAGCACCTGAAAATGTGGATGTTTCTCTGTGTCCTGCCTGCACTATGCCACCCTGAGTTTGTAGATCTGGGCAGGAAATCTCATGTAATCCAGAATTCTACCTCAGTTTTCTTTCATCACTAAAAATTGATTTAAGTGAAAAGCCAAAAGTCCCAATCATGTCCACCCCTTTTTAGAAGGTGGGTGGGTGAGTGAGATGGAGGTACCTACATCCTGGTCATCATTAGTTTGGAATGCTATCAAACTGACAAAAGTAAGGCAAGGGAACCTCCCAGAACCCTTTATAAAATGTTTTGAAAACTTGGTCAGGTTTTGTGGGGAGACATAAAAATCTCTTTATATAAACAACTGTTTTTCCAAGGAAATTTAATTTAAAAAACCACATGTTTTTCTAATGAAGCCAAAGTCTGTTATGCAAACAAAAATCTATTTTGAAAGGAATTTTTACCCTTCTCAAAAGGCTTCCAGAGGAATAAAACAAGAATAAAAATGTATGCAGAAGCCCAGCTCTCATATTTTTTCTAGCTCCAAACAGAATTTGACCAGCCTAAGTTTTGAGCTCAGTTTAACCCATGATTTTATTAGGTTTGAAATTTGGTAAAAGAAGCTCTCCTGTCAAGGACAACAAAATACAAAATGGCATCGGTTGCAAAGTATTGTCTCTCCCTTTGTACATAAAAATACAGCAGATGATCAGAAAGTTATATTGTAGTCTGAAGCCCTAACTAAAAGCCCTATAATTTTCAGAGGATGAAATTCTCCTCTGTGCAAAGGCCCAACAAATGATTTAGGGGCCACTTACACCCTCAAAATAATGCTTAATTGGGAATTAACTGGTCTTAGCTCTCTGCACAAGAGTGTCTATCACCAAAAGAGCCTGTTGACAGAAATTAGGCAGTCACCAAGAAATCATTAGAAATACATAATAAAGGGAATCCATTTTCATTCTATCCTGAAAGTGGGGGGAGAGCGAAGGAAGTTCACTCCACTTCCTTTCTCTCCAGATATAAATTTATTTTTCAGATTTCACTATTTTGATTAGACACTGACTCGAGTTTTGATGTCTGGAACCCGGGCCAAACTCTGCAACATTCAAAGTTGTTGCTCTCTAAACTTTGTAGTCAGTTCGATTTCTAATTTAATTATGGGGAACTTCATTTCCTTTGTCCCAGTCAAAGCCCAATACTGTTTCAATAATTCCCACAAAAGCTTTTTATTTTGCCTCTCTGTTTGCACCAACTGGTGTAACTGAAATTATTTCAAGGCTCATTTCTGAACCGAGTTATCAAAAAAAAAAGGGAATGTATTTGTCTAAGCTAGGTTTATGTATTTTCTGAGTAGATCCTTGGGCAACAATGAGTTGCTTGCACTCTTGAGATCTGTGTGCAGTGATTTCTGGTGAGGGTCACGTGGAGCTACTCAGAATTCTAACATTGGAAATGTTAATGTTTAAAAAAAGTCCAGAGGCAGATAGATAACTAGGTTTGTTAGATGATTAATTGCTACTTGAAATATGCATAGTCAGTAACAGTGTGTGGTTTTTAATTCATAAGGAGACATGTCTGTAAACAAACTAGCTTATTAGTAATTTATTTTTGTGAATAAAACATTCCACTGAGGATTATCACTTTAATCTCACTGCTGGCTAGGTCCTGCCATTGTACTGAGAACTGCTTCTCGGTAAAGCTCTGTAAGCATCTGTTTCAAAGAAGTTTTCAAATCCTTGTTTATAGCAACTAGTTCTTTTCAACTGAAACAAATTTGCTGGTGAAAGAGGCCAGCAGGATGCAAAGGAAGGCTACTTATGTACAGATCAGTTACAGAAACAGTGCAATCTTCCCTTCTCCCCACACACTAACCGGGGGCATCAGAGCATTCACTCACCTTAACCTTTGAACTGCCAGTAAAGATATCTGTTTATTCTAGGCACCCCAGCAGCTCATTACACATAAATAGCAGTCATGTCTTATATCCAAGTGGAGCTGATCCATGAGTATGTCAACCCAAAGCCTTACTGCTGTGTGCATTCAGCAGTGCCACTAATAGGAAAAATCCAAACACAGCATGGAATTTAGTGTGATGGCACTGTGAGATAGAGGGGATGAGGGGTTAATAGATTTTGAGCCGTTGCCTCCAATGTCTGAGGTCTAAACTAAAGAAAAGATTTCCAAAGGTACAAAGGATGATTAGGTACCCAACTCTCATTTGTATCTTTGAGAAATTGCTCCCCTAAAGCAAAGTGAAGTTTGCTCTTTAAGTTTTGCCTCCAGGATTCCTCCTGCTGTCTGGTCAGTTATTACATAATACATACAGACCATCATTTTCAATCCCAAGCACCTGAAGTTGGGCTCCTAAACCCATTTTAGGTGCCTAAATAAAATGGGCTATTTGAGGCAAATGCTGAGCACCCACAAACCCCACTGCAAATGTTCTGCACCTTTGAAAAATCAGACCACTTTTATTTAAGACAGTACTTGAAGATCCTAACTTTAGACAGCCAGGGTTTAACATTTCAACTTTCTGGCTTCTTTTTTTTCTCTCTTAAGTTTGACAAATTAAATATCTGTTATAAAAATTGTTAATAATTTTCCCAGTGTTTCATGCTGGAGGAAAAGAAAAGCACAATTAGAATGGTCTATATGGTCAGTATCAAACAGGGAAGGGTCTGAGAGGTTGATGAAGTTTAGTTTTCATTTAAAGTGATTAGATTTTGGGTCTGTCCTACAGCTTTCACTTAGTCAAATGGCTTGTGGATTATTTTTACACCATTGTATTCTGAACAAATGCATTCATACTGGGTTATTCGATAATTTGATTCAATTTCCAAAATTTAATTTGGCAAAAGATGTTGGTCCAAACATTGCAAAAAACTGAGCATCCCCTGGCTAGGTTCCAAAGGTTCCAAGAATTAATTCCCTCTGACATTACTGACAGCTCAAGGTGCTTAGCACTTTGTAGGATCTATCCTAGAGTGGAAGAAGTTACAAAGACTTGTATGCTGGTTTGAAAGAGAGCACTAAACAAGGTACTGAACAATCCTTCCTTTGGCCAAGTGGAGCTAGACTAGATGACCTAACAGGTTTTTTTCTAACTTTCTGGCTCTAACCTTGATTATTCCATTTATTACCCCCGATAACAAAATACACCATAGAATCAATTTGAACAAAGCTTCAATGATTTGACCATTTTTTAACAACTTAATAATTGCCTAGTCTCCCCTCCTATTTCTGTGCTGTTGGGTCCTATTAATATTCTATTGACATATCACAGTATTTCATCCTATACCTGATACATTCAACAGCAGTCAGAACTATCTTTTGTTCTGTATACATGCCATTTTAAGTAGCAGGAAGGTGGTGAAATGGAACTATTGACTGCTCCCAGTGCTTCATTGCTCTGTCTGATGGTAGGTTTTTGTTTGTTTTGGGTTTTTTTTTTAGCTTCTTACTGTTTGTTTTTTCTAATCTCTCATTTCTTGGTTTTGATGGTAGGATGATAATGACAATATTTGCTGCCAGGAGCAAATAAATCGTTCAATCTATTGGGCAGATGGTTTTGTATTCGTTTACTCCATTACGGACTATGACAGTTACCGGGTCATCCGACCGCTGTACCAGCACATTCGCAAGATCCACCCCAATGCCAACATTCCTCTGCTCCTGATGGCCAACAAAGGGGACCTACTACGAGCCAGACAGGTGTCCTCCAGAGAAGGGCTTCAACTGGCCAGCGAGCTGGGTGGCACTTACTGTGAAGTGTCAGCCCGGGAGAACTGTGAGGGGGTGCATGAAGCCTTCCAGCAACTTTGCCAGGAGGTGGGGAGGATGATTGGTAGCTGCAATGGGGAAAAACGGAGAGGACTCCACCTCATTCGGCCCAAGTCTCCAAACATGCAAGACTTAAAAAGACGTTTGAAACAGGCACTCTCTTCCAGAGGGAAATCTGCTACTACACTTTGACATCACTGACAGAACTAGTTAAAAAAGCAAGCTGACATCTTTATTGCCTCAAAACTCAATAGGCACATAGATTTTTAAGGATCTCACTTAAAAGTCATGTTTCCTTCAGCAAGGGACTCACAAAATAGATATTTCTGAGCAAGAGTTTAGAAACTGTTTAAAAAATAATGTGTCTAAAGCTATTCACTTTTTAAAAGGAGACACTATCTTGTAGTTTAGGCCTAAAATGTAGGTTTCGTTTATACAAAAAGATTTTTAAAATCCTAGGATGAAGAAAAATATCTGGGAGGTGGAGGTTGTTTTGGGATATAAGCATTCCTACACATAAACTTTAGGGAGTTAGATCGTGACAGGAGACAGGAACTGACTATATCCATAGGCTACGTCTAGACTGCATCCCTCTGTCGACAGAAGGATGCAAATCAAACACATCGAAATTGCTAATGAAGCAGGGATTTAAATATCCTGCACTTCATTAGCATAAACGTGGCAGCCGCTTTTTTCGAAACAGAGCTTTTTTGAAAAAAAGCAGCAGTCTAAACTTGGAACTGTCAAAAATAAACCCTTTTTCGACAGATCCTGTATTCCTCCAAAAATGAGGTTTACAGGATCTGTCGAAAAAGGGTTTATTTTCAACAGATCTGCGTCTAGACTGCTACTTTTTTTTCGAAAAAGCTCCGTTTTGAAAAAAGTGGCGGACACATTTATGCTAATGAAACGTGGGATATTTAAATCTCTGCTTCATTAGCAGTTTCGATGCGCCTAATCTACATCTCTCTGTTGACAGAGAGATGTAATCTAGTCACACCCAGACCTAATCTACATCTCTCTGTCGACAGAGAGATGTAATCTAATCACACCCAGATGTCCAACCAGTTCTGAAGCAGTAGCCCCTACAGCACAAGTACTGCTATAGCAAACTAGCCACAGTCAACTGGCCAAATAGGCACATATGGCTAGTGGCTAGCATGTTGGACACCACAGGACTATATACAGAAAATAAAACTCCACTAAACTACTTTCTCTATCCTGTGATAGCTAAGTGAAATTCAAAAAGCAAACAAATAGTATTGGTGAAAACCAAATGAGATTCAAATTAGATATTTTACATTCTATGTTATAAAGTTATTATAATGGGAAGGATTTTTCAAATATGATTTTTATCATTACAGTGCCCTTTTAAAGGGAGTGTAAAAATATCACGGCTCTCTGATTTTTTATTGTTATTGCAGATAACACGTAGAGTGACTGTAACTGAAAGATTAGAGGAAAAAATGTTTCTCTTTTTTTTCCAGTTTGTTTACTTTGACAGTACCTTTTAGTCAGTTTTGTCTGCTCCTCCATTTTTGTGTGGGTCTTCCACATGGCAAGAGGAGAGAAAAAACATTTAAAAAAATAGAGAAGTGTGGTTGTTCATAAAAATGGGCTGGGGCACTCAAAGGTGGGCAGGGAACTGATCTGAAACTATTTTTAAACGTTTTTTTTTTCAAATCGAGTAGGTTTCAGGATGAAGATGTCCCTTTGAGCAAACAAGCCCATCATAGAAATAAGAATGGATTTCTTAGATTTCTTTTAAAAATAAAGCTTCACAGCATCTTGACTTCCTAGATTGAAGAGTTTATTACTTTTCTTTGTGCTCCAAGGATTTGGCAATGACCCTTTGGATTTTCATTATTGAAAAAATATTGAACTCCTTCATCTGGCATCAGCTGAAAACAGGAATCAGGGAGGTGTTCTGGAACAGACTTTATTTAATCCCTTCAGATATGCCCACATTACAGTCTTTCAACACTGACAGCATCTCATCGTGTTGTGTCTTGGCACATACTTCTGACACTGTAACCTTCATCACGCGATTTTTTAAAAACAAAATAGGACCTTAGTTTTGTTAGCACTGTAGAAAGAAATTAGCTGTATAAATAAAGTTAATCAACCTCAGAACAATTCCCACAAAGCCCGCTCAGCTGATGGGACAATTTTATTGCATGTGCGTGTCTGTGTCTGTGTGTGTACACAACATAAATCAACAAAGCCATACATTAGTTGTGCGCTTTATGCAGAAGTGGCCTGTAAGAGTGGAGATGGACTAAATCACAAAACAATAATCTGTTCCAAGCTTTCAGAAAATTCTGGAGTCACTAGGTTCAGGGTTTGGTTGGGGATGATCCTTGTACAAGAGATTATTATTTTCAGTAGACTAATAGGCTGTGTCTACACTGGGCCACTTATTCTGGAAAATCAGCCGCTTTTCCGGAATAAGCTGCGAGCTGTCTACACTGGCCCTTGAATTTCTGGAAAAGCTACGATGCTCTACTGTACAAAATCAGCCGCTATTCCGGAAAAACTATTCTGCTCCCACTCGGGCATAAGTCCTTATTCCGGAACACTGTTCCAGAAAAGGGCCAGTGTAGACAGCCCAGTAGTCTTTTCCGGAAAAAAGCCCCGATCGCGAAAATGGCGATCAGGGCTCTTTTCCGGAAAAGTGCGTCTACATTGGCCACAGACGCTTTTCCGGAAAAAGGGCTTTTCTGGAAAAGCAGCCTGCCAATGTAGATGCTCCTTTTCCGGAAAAACTGAAAACTGAATCTATCACTATTCTGTTTTAAGCATTTCCAGAAATTCATGCCAGTGTAGACACAGCCATAGGGAATAAGTAGATCTCTCTATGATGGTATAATACTATCCTGATGCTTTTACAGGCACAGCTCTGCAGTAGGAGTTAATGATTTGAAGGTAATTGTTATGGATTAATCCAAGAGTACAATGACTCACCTGCAATTAAACCATGGCTCCATTTGTCTTTAATGCTTCACACAAACATACACAAGAGGAGATTTACGCTGCATTTTTTTAAAAAAAGCGTTAGTGATGGCTGGACAGCCAAGGAAGCTTTGGCAATGTTATTTGGTTAGAAGTAACGTCACTAAGAAAACCATAGCTTAAGTTTTACTCAGCACACAGCTTCTTATGGACATATTTGAAGCAAAAGATTAACTGGCAAGCAGTCATGCTAGGGTGGCCAGGCTGAGCTGGTATGTAAATTGAAAGACTTTTTTTGTTATTATTTTTATAAACAAGACTATTTGAAGCTGTATTCTGTGGTCTAGCCAGTTTTATGACAAAAGTGACAAGGCATCCATCATACTGTTCTTACCTGGACTGGAAAAGAACCAGGTCTAAGCATGCAAAAGCCAAGATATAATGATTATTTAACAGGCTCTCTCAGAAATTTACAGGCATATGAAATGCTATAAACTTCAGTGAATTACACTAGGGAACACACCGAGAATATCCTAGATTAGAAAAATCCATAAGATTATAATTACAGGATAATACTGAGCTAAAACAACAGTCTTTAATGTATAACAAGCAATGGAACTATAGCTTCAGTTTGAGATTCGCAAGTGTTAATGTAGTGTTATGATTCTGAAAGAAGTAACTTTGCGTGTCCCCTATTTAATGAAAGTAGGTTAGTTTAATCATCAAAACTTACTTCATACATGTTCATAACCTGGCCACTATCTCAGAAAGAGGGTAGATGATGGAGAGAAGAAAACATAAAAATAAAAAGTTACACCTTCTCCAAAAGAATGCCTACATTTGTTAATAAAAAATATCAGTCAGCTCAGCTGGATAAACACATGATGGCTAGCTCATACCACTGCCCTTGCCTCCATGTCCACATTGCCATTTTTAGTACTGAAGCAGAGATAGTGCTTGTCTGTCCACCCAGGCGAGGAGTTTCCAGCTGCAGTGTTGAGATATCTTTGGAGTCCAATCCTGGATTAGTGCCAGTAAACTGCAAGGAAGGAGGGCTTGAATGAACATGCTTGGCACATATGGAAAGGAATGGAAGGGAGGATTGATTGGGGTTTCCAGCAAAAGTGTCAGGCCAAATTCTGTTCTCAGTTACACAGGGATAAATCCACATTAATTTGGTTGAGAGGATTCCATTGTACAGAAATTATCTGCAGAATTATGTTTCTTTTAAATTTTTTCCATTATCCTAAGTTGGCTCAAATCAGGTATAGCATCTAGTTTTCAGTGGGGTTTGCAGTGAGGCTCACTTGGGTCCAAAGAAGTCAAATTACTTGCCTCGAGGCTAAATGGTTGAGTAAGTGGTTCAAGTGGACATTGAAACCAGGTTCTTTTTCATTCATTCCAGCCATTTGCACCAAACACTAGTCCATGCCACCCTTTTCCATCTGTATACAAAGCATCCTTCGCCAGGGTAGATTGATTTAATCATTATTTAAATCACCAAAAAAAATCATTGATTTAAATGAAGTTACCAAAAAAGTTAAGGCTGACTATGCTTAGAATGCACTTAATTTTGGAGTAAGCCCCATTGAACTCACTGGCACTTCTATTTTTTGAGAAAACAAGTACAGAATGGGGTTTCCTTGGAAAAGCTGAGTTTTTCTGAAGTAAAATAGTGAATAGACATATGACATCACCATTATGGTCTGTGGCCATGATGTTCCAAAATAAAGGGCACGTATTCATAGAATCATAGAGCTGGAAGAGACCTTAGAAGGCCATCAAGTCCAGCCCCCTGCCCAAGTCAGGACCAATCCCAATTAAATCAATCCAGCCAGGGCTTCGTCAAGCTGAGACTTAAACACCTTTAGGAATGGAGACTCCACTAATTCTCTAGGGGTACGTCTACACTGCATCCCTAGTTCGAACTAGGGATGCAAATGGAGACGACCGAAGTAGTTAATGAAGCGGGGATTTAAATATCCCGCGCTCCATTAACATGATCTCGCCGGCACGCTAGTTCGAATCACAGCTGATTCGAACCAGGAAGTGCGCGCCGGGACGCGTTAGTTCGGACTAAAGCCCTTAGTCCGAACTAATGTTACTCCTCATTT